CTCTAGTATACATATCTTTAATGACTTGAATATAAGTTATATCCACATCTTTCTTCTCAAGAACTCTCCAAAGGATATCTCTTGGAACCTTATCGTAAGCTTTTTCTAAATCAATAAAAATCAAATGTAGATTCTCCTTATTATCTCTGAACTTCTCCACCAAACCTCTCAATAAATGTATAGCTTCCACAGTAGACCTGCCCGACATAAATCCAAATTAATTATGAGAAAGATGAAGACAAGGGAAGTGAAATAAGAGCACTAGGGGGAGAGTGTAATAACCAGTTTAAAATCATGTAAAAATTTTTGGTGACTTACCATGTACTGTAAATTTCGCACCCCTCAGATTCAACCAAATCAATTTTATAAAATTCTACGTGTCAAATTGATTAATTCGATGTAAAGCACTAGATATAAAATATGAATGAAATGAGAGATATAAAATTTATAAGATATTTAATTAATTAAATTAATTAAACCTAATTATCCTAAATCTCAACCAGATCCTGCATTCACTATCCACAACTGACATCCACACAATATAATCTTTGTATGGCATCAAATCCTGCATTCACTATCCACAACCGACATCCACACAATATAATCTTTGTATGGCATCAAAAGGGCGAGATCCTCCATCCAGACTTTTCGCATTTCTTCCTCCCCCTCTCCCTTTTCTTGGTTGTGCTCGACAGAAGCTCCCGTGGGAAGTTGAAATCGCGACACTATAGCACAGGCACGATCACAGCACAGTCATGACCCGCAGAGTCACGAGCAAAGGCGAGGATCCCACTAAGTGTTGTAGCTCGTTGTTTAGGCTTTGGGGACAAAATCGGTGAGTACAAACACTCATTCACGCTATTTGAGATACTCATTTACTTCCTCCCGCCTTCATTTTGAGATTTTCCAGGAATTGAGAACCTTTTTGTTTTCAGTAGCCATTGCGAAGATGAGGTAGCGTCGAAAGCGACGAAATTGGTTTGGGAACTTTCATAAAGGTCTTAAGTGAGAAATCAACGAAGATAGGAAAAGGGTTAATGTGATAGGAAGAAGGAAGAAGAATTAACAATAGCGGAAAGGTTGGGTTGTGTCGTGAAGCTCATTTAAGATACATTTTGACAAATCGGTTATGTTTTGAGTTAAAACGCTTACAAGCCAAGTTATCCAAGATTTCCTAAGATATTTACATATTTCAGATTGTTTACTTGAAGCAGCGAGCTCTGAGGCGAGCTTGTGGAAATTCACCGAAGGGCTGCTATGTAAAAATTCAGGTAAAAAAATCATATGCTAACCTAAGAAAATTAATTTGACTAACAGAAATTGTTTAAATCTTAAATTTTGATTTTTGTTCTATAGGTTATTAATATCCATATAAAATTTATCGCAACGTCCAATTAGTTACTAAAAATTGAGAATCTAACGTGGCAACTAACGCAGGTAATTATATTTTTTTAATTTTAGTAATCTTCTTTATTTTAAAATGTATGTTTGACTTCACATATACTCTAGTTTAGTTAAATTTTTCATATTTTTTGATAAAAAGATGTACATGACAGAAAATATATACAAGAAGTGCATGATATGAAAGATATGCATGATATAAGAAATATGCATGAGATAAGATATATGAATGATATAAGATATGCACGATGAATAGTTGCACATTAAAGTATAAATGTTAGTAGATGCATGAAAATGTCTCAGAATAATATATGTTAAAAAGAATGAAATAGCTCATATGTGTTTACTTGTATGTTTATATGTGCATGTTCAAATGAGTTCACCCCCTAATAGTACCGGCAAGGAACGTCAGTGAACCAGTGTGCGTAGTTCTTTACCACACGATAATTATGACTATTAGATCACTAATTGTTGTTCTGACAAGAAAATATCAGTCAAGGGCGAGTAGACAAAGCTTACCACTCTAGAAAATTGTGATGTTTACATCGCTAACAGTTGTGTCGATGAGATAAAATAAGTCAAGGGTAGATAAGAGCATTTCCACTCCAAATAATTGGATATTTAAATTGCTAACCATTGTGCCGACGAAATAAAATCGGTCAGAAGCGTGTTAGATTTTGTTGACGGTGATCCTTAAAGAGACAGAGGTGTACGTAAATAATATAAAATAAAAGTTAAGTTAAAATACATCTGGAAGATTTGGGTATTTTCATTTAGAAAATGTCATTGATACATGTTTTAGCATATATAAAATTTCTTATAAAAATATGAAAAACCAGCATCCATATTGATTTCTTTTTCTTGGGTTACTACAGTTTAGAAGTGTGATTACTCCTGGGCTATCTTTTGATAACTCATTATGTCGTTTATTTATTTATTTTATTTTTTTTAAGCTTTTGAACAACATTAATAGGAGATAAGCAAATATGTATAGGAGACGAGAATAGCAATTTTCGATAACTCATTATGTCGTTTATTTATTTATTTTTTTTTTTTAAGCTTTTGAACAACATTAATAGTAGATAAGCAAATATGTATAGGAGACGAGAATAGCAATAAAAAATGAACAAATTTCTACTTATTAATTTAATCACTTTCTTTAGTGACTCTTTCATGAATTCTTTAATATTAAACTGTTGGCGATAGAAATTAAATAGAAGAAAATTGATTTCCACCGTCCTACCATTTGTTCCTGTCTTGGTTAACTTCAAGCCACGAGTCAAGTCGTGACAAAAGAGATATCATAGTAGATGTTTAGATTAAATAATATGAATCTTAATGAAAGAGCTAAATGGATGACTGGATTAAGTTAAATAATAGAAATTAAAAAAAATTAATTGAGTCTTATTAAATTATATTGTTGATATTTCAGAATTATGTATGAACATGAAGAAGAGGACATATAGGATAATGCATAATCTGTTGTATCACAGAATGTCACAGTGCTGGTGCATTTTCTGATATGATGAATGTTATGACTCAGTTGATTAAATAATTCTCAATCCAAAGTTAGTTTCAGTGGAGGAGCATTAATGGATAAGTGCTTGAAGCTCTTTCAAGATATTAAACCACCTTTATTTTCGGGAGCTAGAGAGTCGGTGAAAGTTGAAAACTGGCTATTGAAAGTGAAAAATATTATATAAATGTCTTATATTGATTTATTGTAATCAATATGCACCGATGATATTTCTATTTTTGTTATATTGGTGTAATTTTATATATATGAGTACTCATTGAGTAATTAATAGCTCAAAATTTATATTAATATTGATTTATTGTAATCAATATGCACTGATGATATTTCTATTTTTGTTATATTAGTGTAATTTTATATATATGAGTATTCATTGAGTAATTAATAGCTCAAAATTTATATTAATATTTTTCAAGATAAAATCTAGTGATAAAAAATGAGTAATAAAAGATAATTGTTTATATAAGATGTAGTCAACCTAGGTAAAAGTAATTATATTATTGATTGCTTTACTTGTAAGCTTATATAAATTTTAAATGTTTTTGTCTCTTTTGATAATTTGGATGATTAATACTTAGCGATATAATTAAAATTTAAATTGCGTTTACTATCTGAATGTCTTTTCCCACCTTCGTTATTTCAAACCCCCAAGCTGAGTAAAGACACTAGCCCGCATATATAATATATTCTGAAGCTGAAATAAAATCTTCTATATAAAGTAATAAAAGAAATCAAGAAAAGAAGATTAATGAAAAGATTATTTTAGAGTGATGACAAATGAACATGAGACAAAAATAATATTTAAAATATTTTAATATCTACTATTATATAAAAATTTCCCTTAATTAGATACTCTTAGAACAATTATTATTTAGATAACCATATTTTACACTGATTACAAGCAAACAATTAGCTACTACATGAGCATACTTTAAATGCTAAAATAATTATATTATGCATTAAATTTGTTTGCATTTTAGAGCTTCAAAGCTCGCCATATATTATATAAATAAGAATATAAAACTGAGCTTGAGCTAGGATTATGTTTTGATTAATTTCTCTACATTTTGATGTGTAGTTATGAAGTAATATAAAACATGATCAGATATGTATATTATTAAACATGATCAAGTATGTATATGATGAAAATTTTTAATGCTATGTATGTAAACTTTGATGTTTGCCTAGAAGCTATGTGGTTGAATGAATGAAAATATTTAAAATGTTTCTAGGCAATTTATTTATGTTTATTGGATCTTTATGCATAACAAGTATATTATTTATTTAGTTGGAATCATTTGAGTGTTTGAGTTCATCATTCATTCATAAAAGTAGGTAATTTTCAAGAATGGGTGTTGGTAATAAACTAAATCAACTGAATTATACCAGCCTTTATTACGCATTGTGTTCAGTTGAGGGTGGTCATTGTAGGACGTGACACACAATGCCAATAAAAGAACCAAGTTATATCTGCATTTCAATATGTTAATCTTTCGTAGGAAAGAGGAATGTTATATAATTATACATAGCAAATTAAACTTTTGAACATAAATCAAGGAATAAAAAGATGTACTAACTGCAATCAGATAGCTTCCCATCTCGTCCAGCTCTGCCAGCCTCCTGATAATATGCTTCCAAGCTCTACATTTGACAAAAAACAGCATTACATTGTCACTAAAAAAGAACATAATATGAACAGATAAATAAAGCATTGGCAAGATTCCAAAATGTAAAAATTGATGTAAGAGCAGGCAAAGGTTCAAAATCAGAAGTTGCTTTCCAAGAGCATGAAAGACGAGTTAAAATGAGTCATGAATGAAAAGATCACCATAACAGACATAATTAAGTCTTGCATGTGAACAAGAAATAAAGTTCAAAACAGAAAAGATTTGCACATCGAAAAGCAATTTCTATCCATGTAATATAATAATTGTTTTTATATTGAACTAAATATCATAGGGTAGAGCAGATGGAGTGAAAAAGACAGAAGCTTAATCAAGAAATAGCCAAAGAAAGAGTAGAAACTCACAAGAAGCAATTAAGCCGTTTAGTGACAGCGTACCCAACCAGAAGTGCCCTATCTGTTAATAAGGAAAAAGCCCATAGAAATCCCCGACAAGAAATAACGACAAGGAATGAAAATTGAAAGAGGTAACAGAGCCCACTAGGAATCAAGGCCCACAAGAATAGCCATCAGGGCGCCCGCACAAACAGCAATTTTCTACACCAAAGCCACTAAATAAATTAAGGTGCCCTGGCAATGGTGCCTAGTGCAAATCTATTATGCAATGAAGGTTTAGATAAAATAAAACATGCAAGAAATCTTTCAAATCTATGGTGCCTAGTGCAAATCTATTATGCAATGAAGATTTAGATAAAATAAAACATGCAAGAAATCTTTCAAAATAATGCAAGTTATACATTCAAAACAATAAAAAAATAAAAATAAAACCTACTTGAAGGAAAAAAAAGTATAAACCTCCAGTTGAAGGGTCCTGACCAACAAGAATGTAATGCCAAGAAATTAAAAATCACAAGTCACCTAAGCAGTTGAAGCTAAAGAAATCAAATTGTAATATAAATGAAAAAAACCAAACATATAAATAGTACAAGAGAAGAGGGAAGAAGAAACGAAAGAAAAAGGAGAAAAAATAGAGAGATTTTAAAGACATCAATTAATTCTTAATTAAATATAATACAAGAGAGCATTTTGGGACTAACTACCATAAGAGGGGATAGAGAAAGACTCAATGGTCATCAATGAATTGTTGGTTCGCCAAATCTACTCCATGCCCGTTTTCTTCCCCTAGTATGAGGGGTGATCACATTCTTAAATAGGTTTTGCCTTATTAAGCATAATTATTACAGTCAGTCTGATTTAATTGCAGAAATGGACACCTACATTTTTTTCAATTAAAAAAATATTTTATAGAAATGCAATATTAAGAGCAAATTGTCAATTATTACCCATCACATTGTATTCCTTGTATATATTACTAAAGTGATTATTTGCAGGCATATTCAAATTAAGTAATAAATATCTATGAAAATATTCATACCAAGTAAAGATGATCAAGAAAAGAAAATGTATGTTATGATAGGTAAAAAACTATATTAAAAATTATGCAGGAAAGTAAAGAGTTTTGACAAGATAAGACTGGATATAAAAATAATTGAATTTCTGACTATTACAACTAAGTTTGGGGCAGACAAGCTGGTATCAAGTAGTCATTGATAAAGCGTGAACTTAGGACAATCAGCCCTCATCAACAGTTGTTATGGCTGATGGGCTAGATGATATGTCAAAATCTATGAAAATATAATACGACATTTCTAAGACAATGTTGATAATGAAAAGTGAAATATAAGCACATATATGAAAAACGATACATGTATATTTAGGTTAATTTTACTTTCCATTTTTGGGTGGAGTTGTATTGAGGAAAATGGAACCCCTAGGACTTTATGTATTTTTTTGATTTTTTAGCGGAGATCCACGTTTCCCACTAACCTATTGTAACCGTCATTTAGATATTAACGCGTAAGGAGTCACGAGCTGCTCTTTCTATTAATATATATATATATATATGTGAATTAAATGAAAACAAGCTCTAAGAGCACTAAAGAAAGACTAGGGTTTTAACTTTAGAAGTATTTAATAATGATTTTAATAATAATAATTAAATTTTAAGGTTAAAAGTGTTGAAATTCTAATTAAAATAAAGTATTACAACAAAAATTTGTAATTAAATCAAAACACAATTAAGAAGTAATTGCATATTTTATATTTTATAGGAGATAATATAAGTTAAAAGCAAACACATCGTCTATAATCAAGGTGAATACTCTTATTCCTAAATTATTGTATTATTTTGATCTCTTATAAATTAGTTTTGTAAGTTGTTATTAATGCAATTGATTTTTATATAATTAAATTTTATCGGTCATTTCGATGTGCATGTTTATAATCTCATATTATAAAGTATTTGATGTATTATAGTATTATATATTGAGTGATATAAAATAATTAATGATATGATCTACATAGATTGATTGTATATGCATAACTGACTATAATGGAGTAACCTCTTTATGGTACTAGCGGAGGAATGCTAAAATACTTGTGCACATATATGAAAAATGATATTTATATTGAATTATCAAGATTGATACAAATTTTTAGAAAATGCTCCTGTGATAATTGTATAGATGTAAAATGATATTGATGTTATTGATATAGTAAGATTCATTGAATAATACGTTAAAAGTTTATATTGTTTTATTAAAAAACGTAACTGACATGCAAATTATTTTTCTTTTTCGTCATATTTTTATAGTTTAGGAATATGAGTACTCACTTACATATTTAGCGCACTGCTACTTCTAAACTAATTTTTTAGTTAATTTAATTGATTAAAAGATAAACGATAGATGTGACATTTGAAGAAGGCGCAGACAACCAGAAGAGAGATCGAAAACATTTGAAGAAGGCGCAGACAACCAGAAGAGAGATAAAGTTAAATATATTACTTTAAATTTATTTAATTAGAGGCTCTTTCATTTTGTTAATATATAGTTATAGAAAATGGACATCGAAATCTTAGTTCCGACCATCCTACTGTCTCTTCCCATCTTATTTAATTCAAAGCCCCGGGCTGGGTCGCAATAAAAGTGATATCAAAGCAGAATGTTTAGGATTATTAATAAAACCCGGATGAAATAGCCAATAGGGTTATTATAAAAAAAATTAAATAATAATGAAAATTAAAAATTTAAGTTAATTCAAATTAATAATTATATCAACTTAAGCATAGTGATACACCAAAAATTATAGAAGAAGAGAATTCGATAGAAAACGAAGTACAGCCTATTATTAATGTGAACACAAATACCCTAACCCAGATGATGGCGACGATGATTGTTAATTCAGGAGTCTAAATCGCAGCCTATCTAAAGTGATACAATCATTGTGGACAAGTACCTGAAAATATTTCAAGATCTGTGTCTACCTTTGTTCAAGAGAACTATAAACCTGATTAAAGCGGAGGACTGTTAATGAGGATAGAGAAAATATTAGAAAGTGTGGCTTGTCCGGATGAAATAACATTATCGTTGGCGATGTTTGTGCTGGTTGGAGAAGTTGAAAGATGGTGGCGTGATCAGCGTAGGGACAAGCTAGGAGACATACCTAATATGATGGTCAATTAGGAGAAATTCCTGGAGCTATTCAGAGAATGGATTGTACCACTATCAGTTCGAAGAAAGATACATGACAGATTCATCAAGTTGAGGCAAGGAGAGAAGACAGTCATGCAGTATGAAGCGGAATTCACAGCACTGTCAAGGATGTGCCACAAATGATTGATATTGCAGAAAAAAAAGTGCTACAAATTCCTTTCAATCTTTAGGGATCGATGAATAGTCGGTATTAGTGTAACGAATTAGAAGAGTGGAGATTAACTATCAGCTTACTCAGAAGCAAAGGAGATACACAAGAGAAAGAGTAATGATGAAGGTGAACATGTAGATCACTCAGAAAAATCCAATGGGAAGAAGTCCAAGAATAATTTGGGTGGAGTTGGTAGAGGTGCAACTCAGGGTATTGTAGTTACTTGTGTCAAATGCGAAAGACAACATAAAAATGAATGTTTGATGTAATCTAAAATTTATTATTGGTGTCATCAGCCTGGCCATACAGCAAGATATGGTCCTTCTCTTGGCCAGAAGAGCGTTGAAGATCAGAAATCAAGTGCAGCTTCATCTTGGAGGTGGGCAGAAAAAGATAGTAGTACATAGCTTCAGATCCATCCAAGGTCAACCAAGACAACCTGTTCGAACACGAATATATTCTCTTACTCATAATGAGCCTGAAAAACCTACTATTACTGATGGTGATGAGGTTTGATAAGTTACGTATTTTCCTATATATAAGAGTATTTTCCTAACATACTTTCTTGTTTCAGTATTGTTATCTGAAGTAAAGCTCAATCACCTTATATCGAGTCTTTGCATTTTTAGTTATTACTTATTATCTTAATGAACTACCACCCCTAGTTTCGTAGATGGCTAATGTTGACCTGTTTGATGAGAAATGACTTGAATTTTGTTTATAAATTTTAAGGATGACGTTTTTGTAAGTGAAAAAGATTGTATTGCCCAACTTCAGTTACCCGAGAGATGAAATGAAGAATCAAAGAAAAGAAAACGAAGAGTCAGTCAATTGAGTAAAGTGGAGAGGAAGTGAGGGGGGTCTAAACCCAAGGAGGTGAGTTTGCCTTATAAATTATCATATTTGGGAGGCAGGGACTTACCTAAGAGTCGAACGGCAGTTGAGAATGGCTCTCGATCACGAGGGTTTCGGAAGCTGCGGTGAGTGTGGCTAGGGCAAAGACTGTAGGAGGAAAATAGCAGTATCGACAACGTCTCTATCGCGCTGAGAAGGAAGAGGCGACGAGTTTGTGTGATCCTGTGCATAGAGAATGAGACGTCGGCCTGAGGAAGCTCGTGCGAGAAGAACCGAGCCAGAGCTCTCCCGTGAGTTGAGGAAGCATCTCACGTGCGATTTTTCAAGAGTTAGTTATTTATTTAAGTTATTTAATAAATATTAATATATATATATATATATATCTTATATAAGCCTATTATTTAAATGATAAACTTAAGAGCATTTGATTTGAGTGCTAAAGAAAGGCTATGGTTTAATTTTAAAATAAACTAATAATAATTTTAACAACAATAATTAATTTTTTAAGTTTGAAGTTTTGAAATTCTAATTAAAATAGTGTCACAACAATAAGTCATAATTAAATTAAAAGATAATTAAGTAATAATTATATATTTTATATTTCATATTTTATAGATGATAATACAAGTTAAGAGCAAACAGATTGTCTATCATCAAGGTGAGTACTCATATTCTTAAATTATAGTATCATTTTGTTCTCTTTTGAATCAATTTTATTGGTTGTTATATATGTTTGATTAATACAATTAATTTTTCTATTATTAAACAATATCGATCATTTTGAAGCGAATGCTTATAATCTCATTATATAAAATATTTAATATATTATAGTATTATATGTTAAGTGATATAAAATAATGAATAATATGATTTACATCGATTGATTGTATGTGCATGACTAACTATGATGGAGTAACTCATTTATGATACTAGCAGAAAACGCTAAGGTACTCGTACACATATATAAAAAAAGATATTAAAATTGAAGTATTTTATATGATACAAATTTTTAGACGGTGCCCTTGTGACAGTTGTAGAAATAAAAAATGATATTGATATACTTTTGATATAGTAAGATTCATTGAATAGCAGATTAAATGTTTACATTGTTTTATAAAAAATTTAACTACCACACATTATTTTTCTTTTCCCTTGCATTACTGTAGTTTAGAAATACGAATATTCATTGTCATATTTAGCTTACTGAATTTTTTAAACTAACTTTTAATTTAATTTAATTGATTAAAAGATGAACGATAAAAGATAAAATGTACAAAAAAGATGCAGACAACCAGTGGCGAGGTAAAATTAAATAGTGTCTTAAATTTATTTGCATTGATTTATAAAAAATTTAACTACCACACATTATTTTTTCTTTTCTCTTGTATTAATGTAGTTTAGAAATACGAATATTCATTGTCTTATTTAGCTTACTGAATTTTTTAAACTAACTTTTAAGTTAATTTAATTGATTAAAAGATGAACGATAAAAGATAAAATGTACAAAAAAGATGCAAACAACAAGTGGCGAGGTAAAATTAAATAGTGTCTTAAATTTATTTAATTAGTGACTTTTATTTTTTTAATAGCTAGTTATAGAAAATGGGCATCAAGATCTTAGTTTCCACCATCTGACTGTCTGCCCCCCATCTTGGTTAATTCTAAGCCTTAAACCGGGTCGTGACATTTAATGTGGCATTTACCATTTGCGAGCTGAAGTCAATCAAAATTTATCACCCTTGACAAACTGTCACGAAGTGTAGACGAAATTTACTTTTGAATTTTTAAGTGATTCATTTCAACTTGAATGTTTTAACTTATTACTTTAAAATTTTATTTTAAAATTGACCTCTACAATTGAGATTCACAATCAGCACGGAGATAATCAACGATTTGATTGTTTGAAATTTATTTGAAATTCATTAACTTTAATCTCTTTAAAATATTAGTCATGTTAACTCCAGTCCTGATGAGGAGGATCAAACTAAGTGATTTTGACTTAAAAAATTTATATATGTGAAAATTACTAGAATTGTCTACTCCAATCCTTAAACGGAGGAGAATCAGACTATTTGGATATGGACTAACAACCCTGCCCGCTAAACAAAGATGGATTGCTTTTCAAAATATGAATTATTTGAGTACAAGTTTAGCTTTAACACGCACAATATTCCTAAGATATTCATTAAAGCATTTAAAATTTTAGTTGGAGTCCATGCGACTTTAAAATTTCACATATATGAGTATCTTAATAAATTTTACAATTTGTAAAGACTTGGGCAATTTTTAAGCCATGAAGTTGATATGAACTTTACATCAAGAGGCACGTGCAAGATTTCAAAAATATGCATAATTAACTCAAGAGTATCTCAAGTGTTACTCAGTCTTAAAAGTGTGGCTCAGATTTTAAGATATTGTAGTTGACTTGGGAGATAACCATAAAATTTATATAAATTTTGAAATCATTCAGAACTTAAAATATTTGCAAAAGTATTATGATTTTGGTCTTTTAAAGGGATTGCCTTCTGTCAGCTTGCAAACTAAAATTATAGATCCGGTGATGAGATTTTCAAATTTCAAAAGCCCCATATTTGAATTATTTTTCATGCCCTGAAAGCCTAATTTTGAAAGTCCAAACTTCCAAATATTTTTTGAAAAGTAAGATCCTATATTTTAAAAGTTCAAATCCAAAATATTTTTACGCCCTAAAGGCCTAAATTTTTTAAAGTTCGTGTTAAAATTATTTTTAAATTCAAATGATCCACATTTTATATTAGTTTAAAAGTTCCAAATATCCAAAACTTTAAGTTAATTTACAAGTTCAAATCACCCAAAATTCTGGCAGTCTACCAAAGCCAATCTCCATTAGGAGGCATAAAAGAATGCCAACCTACCTAGTTGTGTTTTAAAAGACTCCCTGTCAATGTCGTTCAGTGTCATTAGACACTGCGACGGGGGAGAAAAAATATGTATTTAATCCACAATCTTAAAAGAAAATAGACGCCTTCAATGTACCTGCAAAAAACATCAAATCACAAGTAAACATTTCTCCAAGGGATGTCCTACTTTCCTTGATCGGTACTTAATCCCAAGAACAAGTAATCACATTTCCCAGGACGAGTATTTAAATACACTAATTTTATAAAAATTTTCCAAACGAGTCCGCAATTTTTTTCCGAACGATGCTTAATTCCAAAGGATGAGTACTCGAGCTTTCTCGAAGGGATATTTTAAAAATTACCCTCCCACACCTATTTTATACATTTGCAAGATAGCTCATTGATGACGCGACAATTGGCAAGACAATAAACAATGAAATAAACATATACAACAATTTTTTTCTAAATTTTTTTCTAATACAATATACAATATGCAATATAAAATACTTAGAGGTATAGCTGGCAGGTTGGGCTCAAGCTCGTGCACAGGAAGAACGATGAAGGATTTAGGTGAGGGGTCTTGGGTAGGGCTGGGACCAAAGAGTGGGGCTCGGCTTCAGGCTTTTGTGGAATGTCAGTGAAGTCACAGCTATGATCTTTGATTCAAACAAAAAGTCTTTGATTTCGAGTTAAGAAAGAAAGGATCTCACAGTGGAGAAATTCGAGTGAAGAAGGCAGTGTAACTTTCCTATGGTGAAACGTCTAGAAGGTTTTGATGTAGGGAGATGGAAGCGGAGTTGTGGCTCTTGGGTTGTTTGGCTTCGATTCATGCGGAGGTTAAGGAAAGCAAAGAATTTTAGTGGTTTTGAAAAGGGAGAAAGATGAGGGTGTCAGCTAAGGGCGGACGAGGATGCTCGGAGTGGCACTGTGCAGCTAAGGCAGACGAGGAAAATCGGAATAGCACTGTGTGAGAAGGTGAGGCACTATGTGAGGCGGTGAGGCACAAGAAGACAAACAAAAGAGAGAGCTTTGGCGAGGTTGCCAAGAATTTAGGAAGTCTTCGCATACGACGATCTCATCATTGCTGCGAAACGACGAGGCATGTGCGGTTTTGATTTTGAACAGAGGAAAAATGGATGAGGCTTCAATGGAACGATGACGCGTTCGAGTTCCGATGTAGGAGGATGAAGTGTGTGATTTTTGCGCTCGAATAGGGAGGAGAAGAGCATGAAGAGTTGCATATTGCTGTCTAAGTTGAGCATTTAGAAAAGAAAACTAGTTTAAATAAAATAACTGAATTGAAGTATAACTTGATAGAATTGCTATAATCAAAACAACATGATTACAAATAAAGGGAAAACTTTGCATGTCTGCATTGTAAAGTAATTCCTCTAAGAGGCCAAACAATTCTATAAATCATTTCTTTCAAACGAAGGAAGCCTTTTCTTTGACTTATAGATAGCACACCAAATCTTCGGCAACTTCCACAACAATAACAAATACTTCGAAGACATCTATAGCTCAAGTTACACACCTGAGGCCAACCATAATGAATAACTCTTCGAATATTTGACTTGTCAATCCCCATTCCAAAAGCAATTGTTGCAACAATTACCTAAATTTCAGAATGAGGATTAGCATAAAATAAAAGGTATCAAGATTTGACAAAAACAGATCATGGAGATAAATAAGCGCAACAAATTAACTAGAAGTAGGCAATATAAGGGAGTGAGGATAGTTTAATGGAACTATACCATGGGCAATAATAATATTAGGTTGTTTAGCAGGCAAAGTATAGTTTAGCCAAATACAAGAAGCAAAGGTTCAGCGAAACCAACAGGAGTTGCAGCTAAAATGTACAGATTTCAAGAATCTGAATCCTGTGATAACTTACATTTCAAATTTATCAACTTGGAATGCGTCCAGGTTCAGTTTAAACAGGAGATTATATGAACTTGATAGAACATTGAGGTAAATAAAGAAAAAGAATTAGCAATGGGAGTAACTAGTACCAGGGAATGAAATTAATTTAATCAAATTATACCGTTAACGTCTACAACATAACAAAACTTGGAAGCCAAAAAAAATTGATCAATGAAATAGGTGCAGTATGACTTCAGCTGAGGCCAACAAGAGTCAAATAGCTTAAATGTGCGGTTTTCAAGAGGTTCAGGAACTTATTATAGTTCAAACTAGTTCAACCTCACCAAACATGAAAAAGGGAACCTCAAGTTAGAAATGTGTACTATAATCAGGAGTCAGTAAAAGGTAAGATTACTGAAATAAAATGAAAAAATTAGCCTTATGTGACCATTTAGTTTAAGACCATGCAAGATAATTCAACTTCTTAAATGCTACACTTATTAAATAGGTTCCATCTCCATTTTAAGATATCTTATATAAGCTTCCCATATCAACTTCTGAATTTTATGATACCAAATGGCTAAAGCTGGTAAACCAGCCTGTAAATGATGTCATGAGCTCTTACACACTATCAAAAATAGAACAGAATTATTCTAATAAAAATGCCATGGCAGACAGAAAAGAAAGTGAGAAATGGGAACTCAAAATTTTGAACAGAAATGAGCCCAAAATACAAGGAGTGAGCTAAGGAATGTCAAGCACAAACAAAGAGAATTTCATGCATGGAGGTAGGTAACAGCAACAACAACCTCTACTACAACCATCTGTGGAAATGGTGAGTGATCAGAGAGAGAGAAAGTGATACCTCAGCTGGTATCGCCACAAGGAAAGGAATGAGTGAGGGAGAATGACGGGAAACAACAAAAATAGTAGAATAAAAACCAGTGAAGGAAAAATGGAAAATGCAACAGAGCCAAGAAGACCAAAAGCAAACTATTTGTTTCAGAAATTCAGATACGAGAACAAGGTACACTGGCCAAAACACCACCTGAGAGCCACCTCAGAATACAGCTGCAAGGAAGGCAAGCCAACCTTAGGAAAAACCAGAAACTTTCCAAAAATTTAGTCCCAAAACAGCCTATAGGTCCTTTATAAGCTAAGAGCTTTCCTAATTACAAGCATGTCATCCAAATAACTAAAAACTATAAAAAACGCAAGATGCACTAAAAAAGACTGAAATAAAACAACCATAAGGACACTAGGAAAGCAAACAATTCAAGCTCCGACGTCACTCTCCCGCAGTTGGCGGGAATTCTTCATAAGTAATTTCAGAATCGGATTCGTGATGTGGAGTCGAGTTGGCAACGTTGAAAGTAATAGAAATATTATAATGACCTTGAGATAAATCTATTAAGCGGTTTCATTAATACGCTTCATAATCTGGAAAGGTTCATCGGCTTTAGCCTTAAGCTTCCCACATTTTCCCAGAGGGAAAGGCTTTTTTCTTAGTCAAACCCATATTTTGTCTCCTTCTTTAAAAGTGACTACCCTTCTATTTTTGCTTGCTTGTCGTTGATACACTTCATTTTGTTCAATGATATTGTCCCAAACTAACTTATGGAGCTCTTGGATTTCCTATGGTTGGGTTTCAATATTCGAAGTTACATCCTTGGCTAGAATATCCAACGTAAGATCTAGAGGAGCAATAGGGTTTTTTCCATAAACCACCTCAAAAGGGTTGTATTTGGATGTTTGATTGCAGTACAGGTTATGAGCAAACTCCACTTGTGATAGCAGAAGGTCCCATTGTCCAAGGTTCTTACCAACACAACAACGAAGTAGATCCCAAGACTTCTATTAACAACTTCCACTTGTCCATAGGTTTATAGATGGAAAGTTGAACTATATTGAAGTCTGTTTCGCAATTTGTTCTATAATATCTTTCAAAAGTGGCTCAAAAATTTAACATCTTGATCGGAAGTGATAGTATGTGGAATACCATGTAAATGGACCACCTTTTTGAAGTATAAATAGGCAATGTGAGGAATGTTTAATGAGGCCTTGTATGGCACAAAGTGGGCCATCTTGGAGAATCAATCCACCACCACCATGATAGAATCCTTATATTATCGAGTACGTACTAAACGAATCACAAAATCCAAGCTGAAATGCATTCAAGGACATTTAGGAACGAGCAAGAAAATGTATAAACCTGAATTTTGAGTCCTTGCCTTGGCTATATGACAAGTTCGGCACCTCTTCACATAAAGATTCGCATCATTATGCATAGAGAGCCAATGAAAGATTGACTTGTAAAAGAACTAGAGCCTTATGTCTCCCAAAATGGTCAATTAGACTCCCATCATGACCTTACCCCAATATGGCCTATCTAATGGAACACTTAAGAATGCATAAACAATTTCCTTTGAATAGGAAATCCTTGATGTGAAAGGTTTTATATATTCCGACTAAACATTGTTGTAATGCCACTCGGAAGTCAAGATCCTTATCATACATTCCGAGCATCAGCTCAAAACCCACAACCCGTACTTACATGACCGATAAAATAACGTCTCGACGGCTTAAAGCATCAGCCACTTGATTAGAAAGTCCAAATTTGTGCTTAAGAATAAAATTAAAGGCTGAAATATATTTATCCCATGTGGCGTAAATTCCTTTTAGTTTATTTTGACTTTGACGATACTTGAGGGCTTCATGATCTGTATAGAGAACAAATTCATTAGCTAAAAAATAATGACTTCAATGTTGTAGAGCCCTTACGATAGAATGGAATTTTTTTTCATATGTTGAATAGTTCTTTCAAAACAAGTTAAGTTTTTTGCTGAAAAATGCTACAAGAAGTCCCAGTTGACTAAGGGCTGCTCCAGTACCGGTGTCAGATGCATCACCCTCCAACTCGAACAAAACATCAAAATATGGAAGATTTAAGACTGGAACGATACATAGGGTTTGTTGCAAGCAATCAAAGTTGAATTGTGCTTGCTCGATCCAGCAGATATGAGCTGCCTTGAGCAATTCAATCAATGGGGAAGCAATTGTACTAAAGCTCTTGATGAACCGGTGATAGAAAGAGGCCAACCCGTGAAATTATATGACTTCAATTAAGGATTAAGTGTCCAACAGTCCTTTACATCAACAATTTTGTTGGAATACACCTCCATTCCAGTTGTTGAGATCATAAATCCCAAGAAAATGATGCGAGAAACTAAGAATGCATGCTTAACCTTATTGGCAAAAAGTTATGAATGTAGGACCTCAGATACGTCCAGTTAAAGTTGCAAATATTCAGCTTGTTAAGGCTATAAATCAAAATATTGTTGAACTATTTTACCACAAACTTCCCCATAAAAAGATGCAGAACATGATTCATTAGGCACATGACTGTGCCCGGGGCGTTAGAAAACCAGAACCGTATCAACATTCATTTGTATAGCCCATCTGTTGTCTTGAACGTTGTAATCCACTCATTTCCTTGTCGCATGCACAATTGATGATACCCGCTTCGAAGGTCTAGTTTGGAGAAAACACCCGCCTTTTTTAAAAGATTAAAAAGGTCGTCAAATCGAGAAATGAAAAAAATATATTAGATAGTGATTTTATTTACAGTCCGACTGTCAATATACATGTGTCATGTCCCATCCTTCTTTGGAACTGAGAAAGTTGGAATCACGCACAAGAAAGAACTACGCCGCACTTATCAGCTTATCCCGTCACGACCCAGCCTGAGACTTAGAAATAACAAGGCGGGAACTGCGATCAGACGGTGTTAACATTTCATTTTTACTTTCCACATAATTTTTTTCATAAAACTTTCAAAATATAAAAGAGCCACAAATATCCACAAATTGCAACAAATTTAAAACATATATAAATAAAAATAATAATTTGAAAATAATATTTCAAGCCAATAATGAACAGTGTATCGCTATCTAAAAAAAGAGTGCAAACAAACTATAATAAATACCTAACAGCGGTAGTCCTCCTGTAAATCAAGTATCTCCTAAAAGTATATGTGATTCTCATCTTCCACCCAAATCAAGAGCATATAACATTATTAGATCCTCCAAATTCTGAATAGTTCTCTGACTGACCATCAGTCTGAGGCTGAAATTTTATACTAAAAGTCAACTGGGTCCCCAAAACTTCTTGAATATTTTTCCACAATCTAGAAGTAAATTTGTCATCTCTATTGGAGACAGGAGACTTCGACACTACATGAAATCTCACAACTTGATCCAATAAAATTTGACTGGCGTCTTCACTGGATATGTCTGACTTATGGCAAGAAATGAACAGGCTTAGTAAATCTATTGACAATTACCCATATAACATCACGACCCTAACTTGATCCAAGCAACCCAATCACAAAATCTATCGCAATCTCCTCTCATTACCACTCTGAAATTGGAAAAGGTTGCAGCTAACCTCCAAGACACTGAGGTTGTCTTCACTAGCTGACATAAAGGACACTTCCAAATTACCTTAAGCCTTCCTACTCAGCACATCTGCCACCACATTCGCCTTACCAAGATGATATTGAATATCCAAATCATAATTTTTAATAAACTCTAGTCATCTCCTCTGTCTTAGGCTGAGTTCTTTCTGAACAAAAATATACTTCAAAGTCTAGTAGTTAGTAAAAAGCGCATGTAACTCTGTACTGATAACGCCTCCATATTTTAAGTGCAAAAACAATTGTTGCAAACTCCAAATCATGTGTGGGATAGTTTT